AATGCATTCTGTACTTGTTTAGGCCAGGTTCACACCATTTTCCAGATCTGGAACACGGTGCATTGAGATTTTGCTGCGTTCTGGAGCGTTTTTTCCCCCCCTCTTACAATCGTTTTTTTTAGTGTGGTTCAGTGCCTTCCAGTGCATTTGCATGCACTTGTATGTGTTTCCATGCATTCCAGAACAGAGAAAATGAGACTAACAGTATTGTTTTTTTTGCCTGGACCGGTACGAACAGAGCCGCAGTATTTTTCTGGTCGGGTCTGGAACAGACTGTGCTGGTGTGAACAGAGGCCAGAAATGGCATAAAGGCCTTTGGGCCCAGGGCCCATTCACGCCACCTCCAGATCATCTCCAGACCAGATTGTTTCCGGAACCAAAATGCATCCTAATGTCTGGTCTCTGTTCACACCAGCGCAGTCCATACCAGACCAGAAAAATACTGCGTGTCTCATTTTGTCTGGTCTGGAATGGACTGGAACTCTGGGCAGGTTCACACTTAAAAAAGCAATCTCCGGAACGATGCAAAATTGCGGTAAAAACACAGCTAAACACAATGCACTGCATTCCAGATCTAGTCCGCAAAATGGTGTGCACCTGCCCTAAACTCAGGAGGTAAATGTTAAAAATGCATTGAAGTACCTGAACTATTAATAAACTTGAACTTTTTTATGTGTCACAGACTATAGATCCTCAAATGCTCTCTGAATTGGTGCCAACACTGTCCTTCCTTCTGGAGTGTGGCTACTTTTTGTTACCCATTGTCCCTGTGTGTGTTGTAAAGTAGCCACTGCTCCAAGCTCCCTCCCATGATGGACTACAATCTCAATACAAATTAGTAAACTAAACATGAGATTGTAGTCCATCACGGGAGCGAGCTTGGAGCGGTGACTACTTTACAGCACACAGAGGGACCATGGGGAACAAAAGGAGTCGCCCTCCAGAAGCAAGGACAGTGTCCACACCAATTCAGAGATGAGTTGAGGATCTGCAGCTGAGTGATACACAAATAAGATACATTTTTGTTACTAGTTTGGGTACTTGAATGCATTTTTAAGATTTAGCTTCTGCATTTGTCACTTTATGCAATAATGCTTATAACTGGAAGGTATATGTCCAAGTCAACTATATTTCTGCTTAGCATACATGTAAATGCCTGAATAAATATGGTTTGGACATTGTCCACACCAATTCAGAGATGATTTGAGGGTCTACACCTGAGTGATGTACAAATAAGATACATTTTTTTTGTTAAAAGTTAAGGTACATGAATGGATTTTTAAGATTTAACTCCTGAGTTTAGTGTCGCATTAAGCAATCTTGCAGTCTCCATTCTGCCCACATGTTTGTTGAGAGCACTCTAATCACTTTGGTCTATGGCCTTACATGCTGAAGAATAATATAGTACGTGTGTAACAATTCTTACACTTGATAATGTACACCTTCCCTCACAGATTCTGGTGGCTGTGAGCTCAGTGCCTTTGTATAAATGATTAAGACTTGACACATGGAAAGAAAAAAAGCCGTAGTAAAAGGGAAGATGACATCTGTTACCATTCAATTCACTCACTTTGAATTCAGGTTTGTGAGGTCAGCCTGTTTTTACCCATCTAGCTGATGGCATTTGCATTGCCCATTTATAGCTCAAAGTAAACTGAGCTGTCTATATCCACTGGTATTCCCATACATAGCTACTGAGCTCACTGCACACTCAGCCATTCCATGCTTCCTAGAGAACAAGAGGCCCTTCCCATACATGGCTGTCCCAAGTTTTACCTATGAAACATGCCAGTTTTTCTGTGATTTTTCTACTTCTCTCAAATAATGTCTATTAAAGAAACTGTCATGAACCAGGGTGATTCAAAGGGAAGATATGATGAATACTTGCACAGGCAGAGGGTTCCTTCTGTTAAAAAAACCTAATCGGCCATTTTCAGTTTTTAGAACTATAGATTAAGTGCCATTCCACTAAGGGACTGATTTACGCACATAGGTTCTAGGAAATGTATATAGGCAATATTCTCATTATTGCATATACGCACCAATTAGAAGTGATGGGTCTATGGCATATAATCTGGTGAATCGGCTTATCTGGCAAATGCTATTGGGTCACCAGGCTACATTAGATAAATGCTCTCCAGGAATTCACATCAGGACAATGTGGTATATAAATGACCAGAACATTGACCCAGCAGATAGATAACACAATAATGTACCCCATTAAACCTTTCATACTAGGCAAACTATTTTAATTTTGAATGAGAAATATGTAACTATGTGACTACAAACATTCATAGCCATAAATGTCAAAGCAATTTGGCCTAAGGAGGCTTGTAGACGTGTTGTGGTCCAAAAAGTATAATGCACATTTAAAGAAATATTCAAACTTACTTGCCTATACCTATACTTGCCAACAATGCTTCGTGATTAATTGCTTAGTTTGACCTAAAGCTCACCTCAAATGTTACAATCTGACTGTACAATCTCCTTTGGATCTAGAAATCACTATGTAGTGCAATGGCCTGTGTTTTTGGATACAAATTGACTGAATAAACTATGTCCGTATGAAATCTAAAGTTGATTGTACCATTGTATAGTCAGATTGTAACTTGTATGGGGACCCTTACAAAGGCTGTCCATGGAAAATGTTTCTACTATGAAGTCTTTTAGAAGGATAAGGTTTTTTAAAAGGAATAGAAACTTCACCTTTCTCCAAGTGTGAAATATACTGTAGCATAAGTGGTTCATATACCTTGCAAATCAGTCTGCATAGAACCATATATTTTGCTGCTCTATTAAAATCAATAATATAATAATATACCTAACTTTTTTATTTTTCTATCATTTTTGAAACCTTAAAAGTCTGTAAATCCTGCTATGGCAAATTTACATAGCTATATTCCCCTGAATCCCATTTATGAATCTAATCTCATGAAATTCCCACACATCGTAATTACTAATGGCTCCGAAACCTTTTGCAGTGTGTGTGTGTATGTGTATCTATATATATTTTTTGTCTCTTTTTATGCGGATGTCAACAAATGAGCACTTTCTGTTCATGTAGGTCCTCCGATGTAATGGGGGTTTTTTTTTTGGCCAAATTATAAAGCACTACTTTTATCTAGTGTCAGTCCTGATGCTTCCAGTGGCGTGTGAATTTGTAAATTCTTTGCTATTCCCCCTCCAGTCCACTTTGATGCTTCAGCTTCCTTTGTGTAATATATCACAAGATACACATTAATGGGAAATCAGCCTGTGTCAAAACTTGCACAGAGAAAACTTGCTACTTTTAAAAATAGAAAAAATTACTAGCAATCAAACCATCTAAAACATGTTTTTGTTCTTTCAAAACCTAATGGTTCCATTAATGCCTGACTAGTGTGTGATCATGTGCAGTAATGGAGGTTTTTACAGCATACATTTCATTTAATATCCCATGTCTGCAATTGCCTCAAGTTACATGTTCCATTTTAGGATTACAATTTAAAGAGAAAAAAAGTAAATGTGTAAGTAGGACTATCAATATTTATTTTAGTGAGCAATGTTCTATTTGGCTCTAATTACCTCCTAAGAGAAATTGCCTATATTTTAGTTGTATCATATATTTTATGACATTAGAAACCTAATCATGTTTACGTCCAGTTCTTCAGTAGGGAACCACATTACCTTGTTCCATTTACCTAAATTGCAGGTTGTGTTTATAAACAAAGCAATGAGATCCAAGATCTGTAGATTCTTGTAACACATATATGGGATATTCTGTGACTTTTAGAAGTCAAAAGCAATAGGAAGGTATTATGTGCAGTAACCCTTAACAGCTTGTTAACTGTAACTGTATTCAGTTGCATCAATACTGTATGTCAAAAACTGGATTCTTTTACCTGCATCCACAAGTATAGGAACATTTTGATATTTTTTTATTTTTTATTTTAAATAATAAAAAAAAGTCAAATCCACATACACCAACACAGCAAGTGCATCAAACCCATTGCCTAATATAGGTATCTCATTACAGGAAATATCTCATTACAGCAAATATGTAATGGTTGCAGTATCAGGGCTAACTTACACCGTTGGGTTTTAAACACAAGCAATCATGTTATTTGCAACACAATGTGTTTCAGTAAAGAATGTTGCCAGCAAGAGGGAACATTGCTCAGAAGCAGCAGAATTAAAATTGCCTCTGACGTTTAGCCCCCTGGGATTAGAAATAAATGAAAACTAGAAATATCAGTATGATGAAACTCCTCCATAACAAAGTTAGATGTTCTGTTTCATGATTTGCAAATTATCTGATTGCCTTCATTCAAAGATGTATAAAGTTTCCAGGAAAGTTAAACATTAATGAGATTTGTCTGTCGTGTTACACTTGTAAATAAAAAAAAGACTACAGTAAAAGCCAAGCCAAATAAATGGTTATGAGCTGTGTACTAGGTACTTCTAAGTGAATATGCGTATATGTTTAAGCCTTTAATTATATGCCTGGGCTTTCTTATGAAAGCATGATTGGTGGTATAAAATGGTACAGTTAGCTTACAAATAAACAGGCTATTTGATCACAGCAGCTAGGAACAGCCAGATTAACATGAAAAGGGAGACTAGAACGCCCCCAACTGGCTGCAATTAAAATAGATATTCATAAGCAATCTACATGATTTGGGGAAAACATTTCTGCTTTTTAGTTATTTATCATTAAACATAGAATATTTTCTAAAAAAAAAAAATATAATTTCCCTTAAAGGAACCTTGTACTGAGAGAAATACAAAGGCAAACTTTTCCATTATCCACATATAAAAATACTATATGCCATGCAGGGCCAGTGGCTGCAATATGTGTAACAGAGTGCAGGTTTCCCCTTTTTTTAGAGTCTATTGGTTTTTGGCCCTACCAGTGAGCAGGTTGCTGTGGAGTCGAGTGAAGTGGCATTAAGAGAATTAAGTCGGTGGTTGGCGTGTGTGCTCGAGAGAGAGAGACACGTGTAGTGTGCTTGGGGAGGATCATGCTTTCTCCTACCGGGAAAGTGGAGGGGAGTGAAGTACCAGCTTGGGTATGGACAGAACCAGGTGAGATGCTACTATGTGTTGCATGGATCATAGAAGGACAATAATGTGGGAGTACGGCTGCTTCTCTGCTCTTGCAGAACTAGCACTGTGAAGTTAAAACTTGGCAGATTTGTTTGAGACTGCAGTGTATCACCAACCGTGATAGTATTTAGATACCATTTAAGATCATTATGATCCATATACCTGTGGTATATAGAGGAGATGTTAAATGGTACTATGGGGATGGAGCAGTGGACCTATGCCAGGAGTACATGGAGTCAAGATTAGTGTAAGAGTCTCGCTTTGCTTAATCTGACCTACCGTTATGGATTTGGCATTCTACTGGCCTGTAAAAGCATTGGCTCTAGTACAGGCCCTGAAACTATTGTGTGATTTAAAAAGTAGGGATGTTCAGATACCAAGTACCGTACTGATACTTTTCCAGCTCCAAGACTAGACTAGAAAAAAACCTCAAAACTTAGGAGGCAGCTGTCATTTATAAGGTGCATTGGGTTCCGGGCTCCTGGGATTTGTGCATTCCTGTGTTTAATGTAGCATTTTGTTTATATTTAAAAAAAAAAAAAAACAATTCTATATCTATATCACAAAAGTATTGGAATGCCGGCCTTTGCACACACATGAAATTTAATGGCATCCCAGTCTTAGTCCGTAGGGTTCAATATTGAGTTGGCCCATCCTTTGCAGCTATAACAGCTTCAACTCTTCTGGGAAGGCATCCACAAGGTTAAGGAGTGTGTCTATGGGAATGTTTGACCATTCTTCCAGAAGTGCATTTGTGAGGTCAGGTACTGATGTTGAACGTGAAGGCCTGGCTCGCAGTCTCCGCTCCAATTATACCCAAATGTGTTCTATCGGGTTGAGGTCAGGACTCTGTGCAGGCCAGTCAACTTTCTCCACCCCGAACTCACTCATCCATTTCTTTGTGGACCTTGCTTTGTACATTGGTGCACAGTCATATTGAAACAGGAAAGGGCCATCCCCAAACTGTTCCCACAAAGTTGGAAGCATGAAATTGTCCAAAATGTCTTGGTATGCTGATGCCTTAAGAGTTCCCTTCGCTGGAACTAAGGGCCAAGCCCAACCCCTGAAAAACAACCCCCACACCATAATCCCCCCTTCACCAAACTTTACACTTGGCACAATTCAGTCAGGCAAGTACCGTTCTCCTGGCAACCGCCAAACCTGGACACGTCCATCGGATTGCCAGACAGAGAAGCGTGATTTGTCACTCCAGAGAACACGTCTCCACTTCTCTAGAGTCCAGTGGCAGCATGCTTTACAACACTGCATCCAACGCTTTGCATTGCACTTGGTGATGTAAGGCTTGGATGCAGTTGCTCGGCCATGGAAACCCATTCCAACACAGAGTATGGAATCTGACCACTCCCATGTAACTGCCGGTAGGGTCTAGTGTGCCCATGGCAGGATTGCAAGGCTAAAATAATCTGCTAAATAGGGGAGACCACAAAAAGGCGGTGCAGTCAGCTCTAACCTCTACAGTACATACTTCCATTAATCTGGAACAGGTATATAACTTGGTTCTGACATCACGTGCTGCTATTGTCCTTTCTAGTCAGCAATTAACCTATTTCTGTTGGGATCAGCATTACCATCCAAAAATTTGGCTTTTTCAGAGGATCGGCAAGGGCAGACTAGTCATTTTTCACAGCACGTGTTTCCTTTAAAGAATGTATACCACTTTATACAGAACTACATAACAGAACAAACCCATTTTGCCACAGTCATGAAAGGCATTGAAATGCTGGAGTAACTTGATGTTTGTAGCATGCTTCCCTATGTAGAGAAATCCATCCCGAGAACACAAGATCACAAGATATTGTTTTTTATAGGTAGAATGTCTGTTTTAAAGCATATTTGTATGTTACCACTAAAACACAACTTGGTTTTTTTCTCTCATTCAAATACAGATTTCCAGAACTCTAAAAAGCTTACAAGAGCTTGACATTACATTGGAAATTCTTGTGGTAAGTGATGAAAAGAAAAAAGTTCCACGTTTGTTAGTGTAATGCGTTTTGCTTGCTGTGTAACAGTGTACCAAACTTGGGAAATGTGGAATGGGAAACTTCTTCTTCTACAAGTCGAAAAGGTCTTTTTTATCAGTGGAAAGTGGTTAGAGGTAAGATAAACATTCTTCACCGATGACTCAAGGTGCTACATCCATTCCAAGTTTCATGCAATTAACCATACAGTTGATGCTCAAATAAATAACCTGACCATGTCACTACAGGGACAAAACAGCAAAAAGACATGGCTGTAAGTGGGCCACTATACTCGCCTTTCTGGCAACCCACTTCCTGAAAGGCTGCCATGATGTTGTTCTCCGGCCACTGTAGCTATTCAGCACTTCTGAATGTGTGAACACCTGTTCTGCCAGCTGCACACAGTGGTTCCTCTAGCAAGCTCATATATTACTACAGCATATCTGAGCCAACAAGAGGAACCACTGTGTGCAATTGGGGAAAACAGCTATTCCACCCATCCGATCAGTCTAATACTTGTGTTGGCAGGGGAGCAACACTGTTTCAAGACACAGAAAGGTAAGTATAGTGCCTTTTATTCTTTACAGGTATGCCTTTTTGCTGTTTTGAACATGTATTTACAGGGTCACCTTCTGGTGGCTATTTCCTGATTTTTACTTGAGTCGACTCTGGTACCTGCACCAATACCCTGCTTCTGGTGCTCAGTATAATCTACCGTATTTAAAGGTGAAATTGTCTTTTTTTTTTTTTTTGGGCCATCTTTGTCCCGTTCACTTTCTGAACAAATGCCACAACAGGAAGGGCGAGTCGGTGCCTTAAAAGCAAGGGAAATCCCTTGTGGTCAACAGGAACAGCAGGACTAGTGTCCCCATTGGAAGGTTTCCTATCTCTTCCTATTTTGACGACAACCCCAAACTTTAGATTTTCTTTCAATAACGGTTACCAGGATAAAAAGAGAGGATGAATCACCTTAACGGCAGCAATAAACACCTGACAGTTCTAATACCTTTTCCACTGTATCCAAAACTAAATAAGTTTTTGCATCAGTTGCGCATTTAAAGTGATATTAAAGTTAAAAGGTTTTTAAGCTATTTCAAATGCTAATGAGATCACTTACAATGGATGCTGCTACTGATGTTTAAAAGTTTTAACTTCTTGCAGAATCAGATGGTCCCCTGAGCACTGGTCCCGATATCCTGTTTTAGGGTGACTTCTTTCCCTTGCAGGGCTCTATGGGGCCATCCATGTGTGTGCTAGTAAGCTGTGTGCATCTCCACAAAGTCATAGTTCAGCAGGGCAAGCCACTCCCTAGTCTTCCTTCTTCCTTCCTCTCTCCTCCCTCCTTCCTTTTACCATCCAGTAGATGGACAGCATCTGGAGACTTCCCTGTCTCTGGTGCATCTTATACTGGACAGGAAGTTCAGAGAAGCAGAGTTAAGAATGTTGGAGCCAGCTGTTCAAAAATATGATGATTGTAAGATCTTTGGGCAATGTATATTTGTTTGCAAGTATAATACTATTTTAAGCTTTATTGCATTGAACAGTGCTATCAAACATTGTGAGAACAAAGAGGTGAGCAGGGTAATGACCTTATTCATGTGCTTGTGCTCCTTCCTTGTCCAATTGACAAGCTGGGAAAAGGAAGTTAAAAGATCACTGTACTGAGAAAGTAGTGTTGCCATGTTGACTGTGAAATGGCAACAGTGTATTCAATTCCAAACATTTCTGAACAGAATCAAATCTTTTCTCAGTGTAACCATTCCCTCGATAGTACACAGCAGGGGTGGACTGACCAGTCGGGCACTGCCATCAGGGGGCCCGTCACTGAGCAGTCTTCCACCAAGTTGCTGGAAGACTGCTCAGGTAAGCCTGCACTTTCCCCCACATGGTGCTATATAATGTAATGCTGGGATAGTGGGATTTGTAGTCCTCTGTAGCTGATGGTACATTGTGCTCTATATTACACCATCAGCTAGAGGACTACAAACCCCAGCAATACATTATACACTGTATGTATAATGTATTGCTGGGATAGTGTGATTTGTAGTCCTCTGTAGCTGATGGTACATTGTGCTCTATATTACACCATCAGCTAGAGGACTACAACCCCCAGCAATACATTATACATACAGTGTATAATGTATTGCTGGGATTTGTTGTAGTCCTCTATAGCTGGTGATATTCTGCATTGTGCTCTATAATGTACTATTGCTGGGATTTGTAGTCCTCTATACAGCGCAATGCAGAATACCGCCAGCTATAATGTACTATTGCTGGGATTTGTAGTCCTCTATATCCAGTGCCATTCTGCATTGATTGCATCTCTTAGTGAATTGGCCCACTATTTGAAAAATGTGGAGAAAAAATTTCTGTGACACAAGAATGCCTATGCAGGTTGATCACGGTCATTGGGTAAGTGGTCAGTGGGGCATGTGGGAGGGACTTGTATATGGGCGGAGCTCAAGGGGCCCCATAATCTTGTATTGCCTGGTACACAGTGTTGTTTAAGTCTGTTGCTCACAGCATACAGCATAGTACATAGGAAAAACTTGAGCCTATTTACTCATGTGCTGCTTTGTAGCTGCTCAGTCTGAAGAAGTAATGTGGATGTGGAACACTGACTCCATTTCTCTGAGAGCAATCAGTATGTGACCTGCTCTAAACAGCAACGGAGCTGATTATATTCATAAGTAACCAGTTGGTTTAATGTAGGGTTGTACAGAGAAAACTGTTTACCCAATGACCGTGATGAGCGTTTTCTTTGCTCTGAACAAGAACTGGCAGAGAATTACATCTCCTGACTCCGAGTCCCAGGTAACTGAATATTTTTAAGAAAACATAAGTTCCGATTTTGAGGCCATAAGCCCTAACAAAAAGTTTAAATAGCACACAATCTGCCACTTCATATGAATCTTCAGCAGTTTTTCTACAACATACTGTAGTTAGTTCATTCCAGCAGGTTAGCAAATGTTTTAGCAGGACTGTCCCTTTTAATGAGGCAGCCTGAGGCTATTGCCTCAGGCGGCATCTCTTTGGGTCGTTTGAGGGTGGCAGGTACGGTGGCATGGCCGCTCTGCTGCACAATGTTTGCAGTGTGCCTGCCAACCCCTTTCTGGCCAGAGCGTCACTTGCTAAGAACCGGGAGGAGAGATGAATAAGGGGCATACACATCTTCTCACACAGCCTTTAGCAACCTGAGATGCTCTGGCTGGTGTCTCACCCAGTTCCTGGCAACTAGTGATGTCACTGGTTGCCAGGAGCTGGGCAGGACGCTGGCCGGAATGTCCCCATTTGCTAAAAGCTCTGATTGCGTTCACCCCTGCATGGCAAAATGTCTAGGGACACCACTGGTTATAGGTAATGAGACCCTCTTAAGCCTTTGAGACTAATCAACTGATCAAATGCATTTTTCCTGGCTATTGGCATGAAAACCTCAGTCTGACTTGGTATCCTGTAATTCCCTACACACAAGCCGTGGGAGAGGACGAGGTAACACTCTTGGATGCAAATTTAGAGCTATATTACTTTGCACAGAACTGTCTATTTCACACATAGTTGTCCTCCTTTGGTTCAGGTTGGTGGCCAAGCTGTATTGTTTCTTTTTGGTAATGAAAAGTAAGGTCACCAGCCTAGCCTTGCTGCCTGGCAGGGGTGCTCAGATCCCAAAACAAAACTGGCCAATCACATATCCAAATCCTTTGACAGGTAAGCCATTCCCTCCTATGTGTTTGGACTGTGTATGTAGAAGTTTGCCTGAAGTTCTGCTTTAAACATGCTGTAGTTACTTGCACAGGATAATTATGTTTGTTTGAGTTGGGCATACTGGTACACAAGTAGGGATAGTAATCAAAGCACAATAGCTTTTGAATGACAAATGCTTTTAACATGATCTGAATTGCACAGGTTAACTTTTCTTTATCAAATTTACATAAGGGAACCGGAGTAGGCAAAACCGTAAATGGCTTCCGAAAACATACTGAAGTGGGAGACTTTGCTAAATCTATTGTTCTTCAGTGGAAGAAGTTGGTTCCTGAGGTTATTGAAAAGTAAGTAGTTTGGCTTAAAACAACATGAAGTATAAGGTAAGTTGGCTAAGATAGTTTAGAAGAGTTTCATCCTCTGTCAGCTTTTTATTGCTATGTCCTCTCACACCTGTCCCACTTTGACAGGAATAGATGGAAAATCTCCTCAGCAGGGACAGGCAGCATTTTTACACAACACATTGCATATATGAATTGATGCATCTCTAACGCATTGAAGTGAATTCTATTTGTTGTGATGTGTTGCACAAAGATTCAGTATGCACTGAATTTTGTGTACGATGAGGTGAGCCTATTTTTTACGCATGAATAACACCACAATGGCGGCACAATGTATTTAGGTGTCTACCATTCCTAACGTGTTCTAACCCTTCCCCACTCTATGCAATATGAAAACTGCTAGGAAGATTGTTTACCCAACCTTTACTTTGCATACAAATGACCTTGTATAAGATGTACTTGTAACATTATACTTGGGTTGGTTGTGTTTAGTTATGCTTGGGGAAATCTCTTTGTACTGTTCTCATGATGCTTTAACATTTGGTACTTGGCGTCTCACCTTAATTGTCTCTACATGATAACAATGTTTGTGTTTGGATACTGCTGGTAAAGTATGTAAGAATATTAACTACAAATGCCTAGTTCAAGCTTCTAAATGGAAATACCAATAGATATTTTTATAAAGACCCTTGAAGATTTCACACTTCATTAACTAGAAATGAAGAAAAAAAGACTACTGTAAATGTAAAATATCAATATTTCATGCATATTAACCACTGCACTGTCGGCATGTTACACCCCCTTCATTAGCAGGCCATTTTTCAGCGCTGTGCAAGTTTGGCTGACAATTCCTCCGTCACGCAACACTGTAACAAAATACATTTTATATCGTTTTTTGGGGGACAAATACAGCTTTCTTTTACTGGTATTTAATCACTTTTTGTTTCTTAATTTTTTACTATGTAAAGTAAAGAACAAAAAAGGTTTCTCTTATTTATAAATCATAGCAAATAAAAATGCCAGGACAGCATGAAAATCCCTGAAATTACCCCTTTTTGGAATGTGACACTCAAGGTGATCAGATTTATTTACCCTCAATATTAATACGTGTTAGTATTGAGGGTGTTAAAACATGAAGCTTGGTACTAGTGCACAAGATCCAATAAATGTACAGGTCATAGAGAAGAGGGAGGTGGATGTGAAATGGTTCATTATACAGGTCAGCGCATACAGAATAGATCTAACAGAAGTAGGAGAGGAAGGGGGTTAAAAGAGCTAAAATGATTTAAAACACTTTTTATTTAATTTTTTTAATGCAATTGCAGCTTGTTTTCACTAGAAAGTATTGAATAGATGACTCATCTATTCATTATGTCCTTTATGCTACCCTGCCTCTGATGTAAGAGAAAGGCGAGAGCTTGGCAATGTAAACCTTGCCATATATATATATATACACACACACACACACACACACACACACATGCATGTATCTCTCTCTCTCTCTCTCTCTCTCATGGTCCGAAGGTAGTTAACGGATAATTAAACCCAAGAACAAAAAAGTAAACTATTGCAGCTTACCAGTTAGATGTGGTCACTGTATTTTGTATTTGTTCTTTTTTATTTTCAGGCTAAGACCTTTAGCAAGTACAGTAAATACCTCTTGTCATAAATGCAGTGTACCCGTCACTTCCTGTGAGTGGAATTGGAAGTCCAAAACAATCTGATCTATCTGCTGTAAACTACTAATCTATTGATCACCCATGTAATGGGGATTAACAAAGTCGGCCTGTGTGACAACCATGGCTCCCAAATACAGATTGTGAAGAGGGCAGGGGCAGGAAATTTGTTTTTTTTGCAGAATTACCAGCTAAACATAAACACAATATATACTGAAAAAAGAACTAGTATAACCAGCATATTAAGGGCTGCTAAACTGCCATATATTTTTGTTTTAGGGTTTAGATATGCTTTTAAATGTGTAGCTAGGTAAATTAAAAAAAACACACATTCAGTGCAACTCTGCAATACATGTTAGGCTTAAAAATGTTATGGAAACTTGTATATTTGTTTTTACTAGTGATGAGAAGTCAATGCCTAAGCATGAACCGAAAGAGACTATAGAAAGAAAGCAGTCGATTTTAAAGCTGAAGAAAAAAGAAGCCGTAGTGGAAAAGGTGTTGAATTCAGAAGGCAATAATCACTGGAGTGAAGAGCTACCTGAATCTCAGACCACAAAAAATAAATCCAATAAAACAAAGAAAATCAAAGAGTATGAAAAGAAACCTGAATCTAAAGAGATGAAACCGAAAAAGGATCCACAAGGCAAAGAAGACGAAGAAGAAAAAGCTCACTCAAATTTTCACTCAAAAGGTGAAAAGTCAAAAAGGGTCCATTTCTCTGAGAAAAGGACTGAAAAATATTCTCATTCATCTAACAATGAAAAGAAACATGTCTATACAAAGAATAAAGAGAGCCCTCCCAAGCACAGCAGGCATAATAAAAATAATGAAAGTCGCAACAGCTTCCAGCCAAGTGTGGAGAAAACGGCAGAGACTTTGCCCAGTGAGGAATTTGAGACTCCCAGTATGTCATTTGAGTCCTATCTCAATTATGACCAAGCCTCCAGTAAGAGGAAAAATAAATCCTACTTGACAAATGAACCTCCTAATAAGGTACAGGTATGCAACCAGTACTGCAAAATGAAGCGGTCCAGTTCTGAACTGCAAAAAAGTCCAAAAAAGAAAAAAGAGGAACAGGTTGATGAAACAGATGTAAGTTCCAAAACCTTTTTGAATGAGATATGCCTTCTTATAAAGAGTATAAAATTAGTATTCTCATAGTAACAACTTTCACTTGTGGGTTATTTTGAGTAACGAAATAAGCAAAATAATATGAACAAGATTGTTTGTTTTTAGGGCTGAGAAAAACAAGGTGGTCACAATATGCTATGCAGTAGCATCTTTGTATTCAGGGAACAACTTGGCTACTGGGATACAACAGCTTGCTTTCAAATTCCTAAAGTGACCCTAAACTCAGGAGTTAATAGTTAGGGTACTTGCATGCAGTTTTAAGAATTAACAAAAATGTATCCTATTTGTGTATCACTCAGCTGTAGATCCTCAAATCATCTCTGAATTGGTGCTGACACTGTCCTTCCTTTTTAGAGGGTTGCTACTTTTGTTCCACTCCAAGCTCACTTCTATGATGGACTACAATATCGCATTTAGTTTACTAATTTGTATTGGGATTGGAGTCCATCATGGGAGTGAGATTGGAGCGGTGGCTACTTTACAACACACACAGGGACCATGGGAAGCAAAAGTAGTCACCCTCCAAAAGGAAGGACAGTGTTGGCATGAATTCAGAGATTATTTGAGGATCTACAATTGAGTCTGTAGCGCTCACCCCCGAAGGAGCCGCTGAATGAGCGGGTCTTCCATAGCCTGTCTAGGGATTATTAAAACACATGGCTGCCCCAAAAGCACTTACCACTTCCAGTGGTTACCGACAGATTGAAGTCCAGACAATAGCTCCAAGATGATTCTCTTTTATTTCTGAACTCCAGGGAGAGAGGGAGAGGGTCAGGCACATCCAGGATGAAGGTAGACTCCTAGTACTTGAAATAGAGCATAGTAACTGCTGCCACCACAGACTTGGACCTTTAAGCCATACCGGCAATCTGTGTGGAGAACTTCTGGCAAGCAGTACTGTCAAGATTCTTGTTCAGGTTCAATTCCAACAGGAGTGGCTGACCACTGGGCCTCCAGGCTCAGGCCCCAGTGTTCAGGCCTAGTCCATTCTTTCTCTTCAGCAGGGACCTGCCCCCAGTAGGCCCTGGGGGCGGAAGAGACTGTTTTACATCAGCCACCCTGAGCATTTATCTCCTCTCCCAGCATGCATCACTGCTACCGTCCTACAGTGATTGGCTGGGAGACATAAATGCCCATAGCAATCCTCATTGGCTGCTCTGTGTGGTACCACACCCAGCAACAGGCAGACACAGCTTCACAGATTGCTTTGTCATAATCGAACTGAACATAGAATATAGATATAATCTAGCACTCCTTTTAGCAGGGTGCTACAAGTGATACACAAATAAGATGCATCTTGTTAGGGTACTTGAATGTCTTTATTTTTAAGATTTGACTCCTGAGTTTAGTGCCACTTTAAGTTTGGATAAAGCCACAAGTCCACTAACTCTACTTGGGAGATTTGGGTGTGTTTGCCTATTCTTTCTTAAATTCAATATGTTAACCTCCATATAGAGGCTTACTATTCACATTAGCCATACCATCATTGTGTTATATCCTCCTTGCTGTACTCCAGCCCGGGATGGACAAATTTTGTCACCAGGTATGCCAATGTCAAAATACTGTGTAGTCCATAAGTGATGGTAGGTTGTTTTTTCAAGCAACACTTTACAGTTTCTACCTTTCATGGTTTGTAGCTAACCCACAAGCCACATGGTGTACGATACCATCAAAAGTAAGTATATTATCCACATTACAAGGCCAATAATTGTGATTATGAATTAGAACAACAATTCAAGATCACATAATTTGCTTTTATGCATAGTCCTGCACAACTTTATTATTTTTAATAGATGACTACTTGGGAATGCCTTCAAATGCTCAAATACTTTTTTTTTCCTTTTTTTTTTCCTCCTTGGTGGAAATATATTTGCTATTTTTCCACTCCAGTTTCCTATGTTGTTATAGATAAGCAATTGTTAAAACCCTCATAACAAGCATCTTCATGCAACCTTGTAGTGGTGAATGAAGCAGTGAATCTGTCTTACCAGGTCTGCTACATTAGAATGCACTGTGCAGTTTGGTCAAACGTGGTGTTGATTGGCCTATACATTTCATATTAACATACAGTACATGACACAACTGCTATGAAAAGCAGAGGTTTTGAATACAGGGTCTATCAGATATCAACTTCTGTGACTTCACTTGGGCTCTGATTTTGAATGCAGTGTTGTAGGTTGAAAGACTTTAGGAAATGTGGTCTAGAAAATGTTTTCAAATAACCCATCTCCAAAAAAGAGGGAAAACCTGAGGAATGACATTTTTATTGACAAACATTTAATGCTGTACCCATCAGGTTTTAAAGAATCATTCAGCATGTGTGGCATTGCATAGTGCAGTTCGTGTACAGTCCTATTGAGCATCATTGGCATAGAACAATTGCTTCTGGTCACCATGAAGCATCATAAGTGATTCCCTCTCTAAAACAAAAAAAGTCTTCTGACTAGTGGTGTGTGGGTTTTTTTTTTTTACATTGGATAGTTTTAAAGTGGATCCATCCAGAACGTGTTTTAGTTTTGGGATGGAAATGGGATAGAGTTTGAACTTAGAATGTTTTTCAGGTTATTACAGTCTGTGTCCCCACTGGTGAAGGTTCTCACTCCCTGCGCTGTGTCCTGACTGGACTTACACTTTAGGCAATATATCCTTTTTGGGAGAATTGTTTGCATAGTTTGAAAATGAACATGTCAGTCAGTTACCACAAATATACTGTATGTTCTCTTTATTAGCCAATATGCCCTCATCTGTGTTCTTCTAAAACTGTTTTGGGGTTTGTTTGTTTTTTTGCAATGAAAAGCTTGAGTTCCCCCAAATTCTGGGCCACGGAAACCAATCTACTGTTCCCTGTCCAATTAGATTTTTCACATTAGCTGTCTTGGGTGTTGTCATTAGTTAACAGTTTGGCAGGGCTTGGCCAAGAGATTAATGAAGTTAGGCGACCTAGCATCAAAAGTAAATAAAATCAGACCGGTGCTTCTGAAAAGGTTTTTGAAAGTGTAGAGTAAATGTGTTTTATTTGCTAATATATAAATAGGGTTGCTTTTAAAACGTGTTTTAATTTTGTAAAGTTTGTCTTTTTTTTTTTCTTCTAGACCAAGAAGAGATGTTTGGAAGATTTACTTAGTATACCACTACCAAAATTTCTACCAGACTTCTCTATGCTACCTTCTCCACCATATGCCGGTGAAAGTAAAGGTGAGCTTAAAGGGAAGTGAACAATTAACACAGTTGTTGTTACTGAATAATGTTCATTAAAGATTTGGAACTGTAGAAGCAATTTCCACCCCACTGCATATTGCCAATTACAGCTCAGCAAAATGCTCTATGCTGATCTGTCAGAGTTCTTGGTGTGTTGTACATATGGTATTGTCACGTACCTTAGGGGAGTCTGAGTTGACGAGGGCGGCTTCTCTCACGGCTCCGGTCCCGGAACACCTGGATTGGTTACAGGGGCGCCGGGGCACAGAGGGGCAAGGGTGCCAGAGGTTGGTTAGCCTGTTGCGTCTGCGAGATGAGATAAAGTGCGTAGATCCGGGCAGGAAGCAGGATGTAGATGCACCGAAGCGGATCAAGAAGGCTCTAGATCAGATGAGCTGAGGAAGCTGGAAGCAGAACGCACAAGGCAGAAGGATCGTCAAGCAGGCTGAGGTCATCAACGAGCTAGCAACGTAGTACAAGGGGTGAGGCAGACTCAAGGTCAAAAACAAGCCGGGGGCTTCAGGGAGCAAGCAACAATAGAGGGTAGTCCAAGCCGGGTCAGTAACGGGTAATCAGGATACAGAAACACAGAACACAGAAAGCTGACGATCTGACGGCATTGGAGAATAGCTGAACACAGCCTTTATAGCCCAGTTCGTCCTTGCAAAGACGCCGCTCCTATTACGGCTCTATGGTCCGCAACAGGCGCATGCGCAGACGGCGACACTCGAACTCTGGCTCTGGCTTTCTGACAGGTATTGGTAATTTTTGCAAATCTACAGATATGTTTTGAGTATGTGTCTGAAATCTCATAAGATTTAAAATCGAACTACAGCCAAAACTGTTTTAATTGCAGTCTCTACCCAGAGGGGCATTGCCGCAACAAAGGGGGGAAATCCTAAAATGTTGTCTTTGAAACAGGAGTAGAGAGGAAATCTATGCATGGACATGTTCCAGTGACACTTGTCAAAGTTAAAACTTCCTTTTATTCTGGATAATCTTCTTCCTACTTGCTGTTGTGTTTTTGGGACAGGAGGGAAGGGGAAGTCTCCCCAATGGGTGCACAGACGGCAAAATAAACCCCAAAGACACTTTTAATTCCATCAAGAACTGAGGGAAAAGGTTTTGACTGGCATACCATATTGAAGATGTATTGGGAGAGTAAAATGTACTCTTCCCAATACTTAGAGCCAGCATGTTACACTACAGGTGCCACATGCCAACTCTATAGATCGAGAGCTGAGTGATCATGAACCGGTAATCACTTGGCTAACAGTCTTTTCCATACGGGGAGCAGTGACTGACAGTGGAAGGAATCAAGGTGCATGCTTCCACTGTGCAGTGTGATGCTACACAAATGGCTAGATTATAAATTATAATTCTTGCAGAAGACTATTTTAAAATATTTAGACCAGACAGTGACAACAGGAACTTTTGCTATATTACTACGTTAAGGATAACCTATTGTGCTACACATATGGGTGCTGCCATTGCTATAGGTCTTTTTGATTTGTTTAACATTGGCAGTACATATTTATTGTAAAACACTAAAGTGGACTGTTTTTACTGTTATTTTAAAGAGTTTTTGTAAGCAAGGTACTGAAAAATCTTTTCTGACAGATATTGAGTCGATCATTGTATCTTTTTCTAACGATATCTATGAAGTTCAAACAAAAAAAAATGTATTCCTTCCTTATCTTTTAATGGTTATCAGGTACTCCCTGGATTAACATTTCACACTATAATGCATATAAGTATTAGTAACAATTACTTTTTTAAGCAAATTACCACTGCTGGACTGTGGGGATTCCTGCTCCTGCTCTGCATCCTTGTTAATATTAAGGGGCCTGACAACCTACATCAAATGATTTAGTAGTATGCTCACTGGTTCTACCCATAATGTCTCAGCATGACTCACCATTGACCAGATTGTTTTTCATGTGCAGAGACTCAACTTTTCATTTTAGTCTGTCTATTTGAACAAGTGTGTAACCAGGGATGTTAACAGCAAAATCATGTGAAGGATCAAGCTGTGATTTCTGCAATGCCAATTAAATCAAATTGTTTTTCAAGCAATAAAAGTTCTATTTCACGTACCAAGCTTTTGTGATTTAGGAACAGTCGCTTTAATGTCATTGCATTTCAATTTACAATATCATTGTACAATTTGGGCTTGATCATTAAATATTAATATATAAGTTTACTGTAATATAGGGGTCTCCTACTTGCCTCCTATAAACCTCCCCCATATTTCACATTATAGTAGGGTCGGGTCCCCCATACACACTGTGTTGACTTTAATGCCGTAGCACGTATTACCTGACTATAAAACTTTAACAGTTCCCTGTTACTTAATACTTGCTTTCATTATTATCTCAACACAAGAAAAAGTGTCTGCAGCTAGAACAGGGCTTGTATCTATAGGGAGAATCAACTGACTATTCTAATTCTCAAATACCTTGAAAGAAAAAGGTCACTGGCTACAGTGCCATTAGTGCATGAAAGTATAACAATCACTACTGTTTATTAATCTCTCCCTCTCCCTCAATAAAAAAGGTAAATATCTGACTAAGAACAGTATTTACTGCTATTCACTATTCCTATAGCAACCATATGCATCTCACTGTAGGTTACTGTTCTCTTCTTAGTGGGATATTTACCTCTTCTGTCAATGCAGAGAGAAAACGAGAAGTTGATAAAGAGCAGTGATTGTTCTAGTCCCATGCACTAATGGCATTATAGCCTGTGACCTTTCTTTAATTGTATTTTGAGAACTGTTGAATTAGGGTTGATTCTTCCTATAGTAATAAGCACCTTTTTAGTAATCTTGTTATAAATAACTGGAGGATATAAAAAAGTTCTAATTGTTTTGGTTCATTTTAAGGACAGCACTTTACGCCAATATGACCCTTGCTTTATTCCACTGGCCTCTAGTGAGGTCACCCGTGACACTGAATATGCTCTCTGCAAAGGCTTGAGAAGCTGGCATAGTCAACCGGTCTAAAGCAAAAGGTTTCAGTCGGTGATGAACAGTGTCACTCTGTGCCAGTCAAATTTTCAATATTCCAGTGTGTCATCAGTGATAGGTTGTTGCGAAAACTCTTCCTTCTATTTTATACCCTGCTGCCTTATGCTATTTGGGGGGACCTCTGCCTGGGTCTTCTGCTGCATTTTGAGAGAAAAAAACAATGCACTTGAATGTGCATTCTTCAGACTATTGCGGGGACCACGTGCTATGAGACCACGTGGCCCCCACAATAGTGCAAGCGTGATAATACAGCAGATTCCACACAGTCGCAGCTTTATAATAGCCACAAATGAGCAGAATCCGTGCAGTTGTTTTCGTCCCGTGAGGGAAACTCAAACGCTATATGTGAATGGAGCCTCAGATAGATCCTCATCGTGTGTGTAGCAATGTGGAATTTTTTAGCACATACGCCTCTGCCTGTTTAAGCAAATCCTGAATATCATCATCAGCCACATTGACAAGGGTTTCGCGGAGAGAAGGGTTGAGAAAACAAGCTGCTGCTGCAAGTGAAAAGAACCTTTCATTAGTTGGATGCAAATAAAAACAGTCATCGAGTTGAAGTTTCTTTTTAACCTTTTTTTTTAAATTCTGAATATTGTAATGTACATACAGTACAGCTCCTTGCTTAACAACCAATTTGTTTAATGACCTAGTTGTAGGAACGGAGCTCGGTGGTTAAGTGAGGAATAGCTGTATTCCCTCCCTTCTACAGCCTAGATTAAGGGTCCCAATATGGACAAGGATAACTGGGTCTTACCCAGCTCCTCCAGTAATCGGTTTACCTGCAGAATCCTGGCACTAGGGAGATGGCAAAACATTTGGCTGAGGTGATGCTGGCAATTGATGATGGACTCCCTAATCCCCACCACCAATTATAGACAGCAGTATGACTTCCTTTATTACAATACCCAGTTCTACTAGATGGGCTGTTATCCTTGCTGAAAGCAATGAAACCTATGGCTGACACTTCCAGCTACCTTCATATCTTTTCTCAACCTGGCAAATTTGTTTGTCGGGCAACATAAAGCTTTTCGTATAACTATTTAACTGAACCCATGGAAGTAATAAGTAAACTCTCAGATTATTAATAATAATAATAATAATATTATTCAACTGGGATTAAGAAATATATATTTTCATATGTCAAAAAAGTGTGCTTAAAAAGTACTCGATGGCAAAGATAACAAGAGCTGCTAGTGGCATAGTGAAAAAGCATTTCTGATTTGTGTGTGGTGTGTTTTTTTTTTTTTTTACTTGGGGTTTTGCTAATGGGCCTGGTATGCGTTAACCTACATAATCTAGATATCCACTTTCAACAGCCACATGTGGTCAGTAAAATCGTTACTCTGGTGGCTTGAGTTACTAGATTTCTGAACTTTTTGTAACGCACTATTTAGTAAAATCAACTATTTGAGAACCACAGAATATTTAGACATTAACTATTTAGACTTACTTCTATAAAGCAATAGGTGTCCTATAGTATACTTGCAGAATGAAATGTGAATTCAGCTCCACTAAACTACAAGACTGAGAGAAAAGGCTACTATTTATTAATTTTTTTCAAATTGGCAACAACAATTGGATGCCTTTTTAAAAATCTCGTATTCCTTAGTATTTTATGGTGTATGTGTTGTATTTTTAATACCGCTTTACCTTATATGTGCTACTAAATTCAGCATATTTGAGGATCTTAAAAGGCTTTAAAGTCCACATAAAAGCTTTTTTAATGATTTAGTTTAATTCTACAGCATCTACTGTCTAGCTGTCTCTCATAACTATTGGGAACACCTATGTAACCATCTTTACAAGGCCCATACCTCCCAACTTTCTAAGATGAGAAAGAGGAACACTTTTGTATGCAGGCAATGGACACCCCCCTACCATGTCCCCAGCTATGCAGATAAATAAGAAAATGTATATGTCAAAACTGGTTTGCTTAAACTTAGAATTGTTTTTTATTGTCACTTTAATTTTCCTTTTTTATTGGCTTTTTGAAATGGCAAACAAGATTGAGAGATATTTCTACCCTCCACTGTTTTTTTAAAATTATAAATTCTTTATAAAACAGTATTTATAAGGAAAACACACCTATAGGACACAAACCTCATACATGGGTAATAGTCGCACAACACAATTGGTCAACATGACCAAAAATAATCACAGTGACATCGATTATGCAGTAGTATCAAACCAAACGTCATATGTGCACCAACGTGAACCCATGTGCATAAGTATACCCAAAATATTCAGGGATAGTCAAGTGAATGGTACCAAGGAGGGGGGAGGGAAGACTCATACAAGGGGTTCAAAAACAAGAAGAAAAGGGAGAGCAAAAAGAGGGATCAAGAAGGAAAATAATGTAATACCGTCACTGTTTTGAATGTATGCAATGCCAAAGTGCAACTGAAAGAGTTGAACAACTAAAAACGGAGAACTGTGACAGCCGCGCCAGTTCAAGCCCACTGTACTTCAAAAACATGTGACTATATGCAGTTCTGAACCAACAGAGCTGTCACAAGTATGTGGCGAGAACACTCCTGGCCTCACCCTGTACATAAATTTCCCAGCTCGTGGGACAGCAATCTTAGACCAGCAGACTGAGCGCGATCATCACTAGGGTTGTTTAACTACACAGACAACCCTTTACAGAGAAAACGGTAGCAGCCACCACGCGTTTTAACGAAAACATGCACTGTTCTCAGCAAAAGCTGTGACTATTCAATAACTTTAAACAAGGCCTGTGATACCACTGTCTTTTCAGACAGGAAAAGTACAGGCTTCTCTTATACAGTAGCTTCTCCTTTTTGATTTTACAAGCTTTGGTGTTACAAGAGTCTCTTGACTGCTCTGCACAGCCCTCAGGTTCAGGCGGTAAAAAGCCTCGGGACACCAATATTATAAATTATATTGTAGACAACAGGCTCTTAATTTCTTGTTGTGATTTCACAATTTTGATATATACTTTTTGCCTTCTATTTTCAATGCAGGGAACATACCAGAGCCTGTGTCTGAAATAAGTCCTGAAACAAGTGGTTTTACTGGAAAGCGTCTAAATTCTAAGATGTTGGTGTACTCTGGTTCCAAGACCATTTATCTTCCGAAGATGCTTACACTATACCAGCAATGTATACGTGTGCTTCAAAACAATATTGACTGTAAGTGTGACTGTGAATATTGGCGCTTTTCTGCCAGAGGGAAATGAAGCAGAAGTCAAAGTGCATCTTTTAACCCTTATTTTTTTTTGTAGCCATCCAAGAAGTTGGAGGTGTACCGTTTGAGATCCTTCAGCCAGTTCTTGAGCGCTGTACTCCGGAGCAGCTTAATCGCATTGAAGAATGTAATCCAGTATGTAGTTTTTTTCAGATTGTTTTCCAAACCCCATTTAATAAAGTAATATGCAGTGCTTTAAAGTGTTCCTAAAGACAAAACCTTTTTTTTTTAAATCCATTATGTATAGCATAGGAGATGGTTAAATCAGCTGTCTTTTTTTTGGGCCATCTGTCCTATTGAGAAAATTTACCTTCACTTCCTGCCCCAAAAGACACAGCCGGAAATGAGGAAAGCTCTTAAAAACGAGGGGAATCCTCTCTAAACCAGTTGTACTGGAAAAAGTGTCTCCACTGGAAGAATTTTACACTTCCAGTGACTCACTTTCAGGCCTATTGATTATGGTCACCAGGACACTTATAGAGGGTGTATCCCAGACTGTAATAAAATTCAGAAAGAGGTTTTAACCTTTTAACCACGCTATCCAAATCTTTAAAAGAAAATGGCTTTACCATAAATTATAATTTTTTTGCTTATAACTGTTAAAAAACCTGTAGAGGGTTGGGTACCCATGCAGTATGGAGTAGATGTTGTGAAGGACAAGTTTACATTAACCAGGACACAAGTCTGGCTCTGATATTTTGATGCTTTTGTTGCAGTAATCTTAGTCTATTGTGACCTACTGGTCTGTAGTAGTCTTCAGTAATTTGGGAGAAATATTTTGTAATTGTCTCTAACATTGCATCAGTCTTTAACATAGAAGTCCCTTGTAATATGCATGAAGAGTCCTGCATTGGTCTCTGCTACTTTTTGGTGGTATTGTGTGTGTGTGTGTGTGTGTGTGTGTGTGTGTGTGTGTTTATATTTATTTTTTCCCCCCAAGTTTTGAACATGTAAAGTAAAGCAATTATTTTTGTACTAAAGGACTTTATGGAGGAATCTGACAACCTGTGGAGGAAACACTGTGAAAAAGACTTTAAAGGTCACCAGCTCTTAGAATACGAGTCTTGGCGAGAGATGTATTTAAGGCTCTTCAGTGCAAGAGAGGAAAAGTTGAAAATGATAACTCAAAATATCAGTTCAACATATTCTGGAAAACCTAAAGGTATGTATCCTTCTGCTGTTTTTAAACAGACAAGAAAATCCACCTGAATGTGCCTGCCCAGGAAAGGTAGATGTGAATTGTAGTGAAAATTAAAAGCGTTTCCAGTGTGATAATTACCTACACCAAAGGTTTTTGATTGGAGGAAGCAAAAGCATCTAAAATATCTCCCTATTGATTGAACATTGTGCAGTAATCACTATGCCCATTTGGTTGATCATAATTTACATTCATAATTAGTTTTCAGTAACCAGGGAACAGCTAAATTTTATAATTATTCTGGATTTTAATAGTTGAGAAGCAGGTGTGTGAGTTTTTTTCAAACACAGACAAATATAGAAGGAAATGTTCTTTATTGCAGATTAGTAGAAAAATAATTAAACCCATTTTTTATTATTATTTTTGGGTTTGCACTATATTTCCTATTTGAAAAGTCAAGTATATATTAAACCTCTGATATTCACAAACTGGATAAAATGTTATTCATTGGTGGGTGAAACCAATATTTATCATTCATATTGTTGGTACCTACAGCTAAGTTATTCCTGACTTAATCAGCTGATATATTGCATGCATACATTTCAATGGTGAGACCGTAATAACTGCTAAATGGTAAATTTTCCCATTTTTTTCCCCAGCAATTTTGGGACACAAATGATGTCCCAAATGATTGCACCAGAATTTTGGCTGAAATATGGGTATTTAGTCATGGGCGTCCCGAGGCCTGGTGTCACCCGCCCCCCCGTGTCATTCATCGCTCGTGCGCGTGATGTCACCTTGCCCACCTGCTTCCATACACTTTGCGATTATCGTACGATCGCGGGATATCTCGCGATTATGATACGATAATCGTACACTGTATGGGCACCTTAATTCATTCAATAAGCAGGGGGCTTAAAAGGCCAACAAAGGACCTAAAAATGTGGCTAGGTGAGTGGTCATTGTTAACAAGACTGGAAGAGAGTGGAAATCCCCCCCCCCTCCAACAGGGACACAGGTGGCAATAAAAACCTGACCGATTCTAACCCTTTTCCACCCTGTCCAAAAAGTACTATTGGTTACAATCCCTCTTTGAAATAGTGTTTCACCTGATGAGCTACAAAACCAAAAAGCAATTTTTTTTAGTTAAAGTTGGAATATTTCGCGTTATATTTAAAGCTAAATAATTATACCAGTAAATATAGACTTTTCATTGAGTCATTGCCATTAGTACACTTATGAGGGAAAATTACCCATAAATATGTGCTGCAGAATATAAGAAAGGTGGTCTTTTATGTTAATATAGAATTACTAAAAGGAGAAAATGTGAACAGAAGTCTCAAATTGTTATAATGTGCACATTAGGTGATGATTTTTTTTCCTTTATTTTTCCCCCCCCATTAAGGTCGACAAGTAAAACTCGCTTACATTCATGGGGCAGCCAAACCTCCCAGATATATCCGTCGCAAACAGGAGATTAATGGAACAGCTGTAACTATTGTACAGCCTCATCCAGTGGAGAAACTCAAGTAGGTGTTTAAACTATACCGAGCATTTTTTTTTGTGTATGTATATATAATTAACAAACAAATATATATTTGCGTTAAGTGGATATTAAAAAAAAGTCTACACGCCTGTAAAATGCCAGGTTTTTTAGATCAGGCCAAGATAGATTGCTATAGATTCCCCCCCCCCCACCTTTTAATGTGACCTATAATCTGTGCAATTCAATTAAAAACAAATTGCAATCTTTAAAGGGGGAAACAATACAAATAAAAACTTACAATAGTGTGGTTTCATAAGTATTTCCCCACTAAACCAATACTTTGTTGAATCGCTTTCTTCTATAACAATATTCCGTCTTTTGGCGTACCCATCTTGCCTTGAGAATATTTGCCCACTCTTCCTTGCAAAAGCACTCCAAATGTGTTTAGATTGAAAGGGCATCTCCTGTGCACAGCCCTCTTCAGATCACACTGCAGATTTTCAATTGGTTTCAGGTCCGGGTTTTGGATGAGCCATTCCAAAATTTTGATTATCTTCTGGTGAAGCCAATCTTTTGTTGATTTGGAGGTATGCATTGTGCCGTTGTCATGCTGAAAGGTGAAATTCATCTTCAGCTTTTTAGCAGGTTTTGTGCCAAAATTTACTGGCATTTGGAACTGTCCCTCCACCTTGACAAAAGCCCCAAATCTAGCTGAAGAAAAACGACCCCAAAGCATAATGTTGCCACCACCATCATTCTGTGGGTATGGTGGGTTTTTTGAACTATGAACAAAAAGTTCAATCTTGGTCTTTCATCTGACTTGATGTAGGGTTTTGCAAAACGTAGCTGGGCTTGGTTGCTTCTCTTGGTAAGAAAAGGCTTCCATATCACCTCCTACCCCACAGCTCAGACATATGAAGAATGAGGGAGACTCTTTTCACATCTAGTACACAACCAGTACTTGCCAGAAATTCTTGCAGATCCATTAATGTTGCTGTAGGCCTCTTGACAGCCTCCCAGATCAGTTTTCTTTTTGTGTTTTCATCAATTTTGGAGGAACTTCCAGTTCTTGGTAATGTCGCTGTTGTGCCATATTTTCTCCACTTGTTGAGGACAGGCTTTACTTGCTCCATAATATATCTAATGATTCAGAAAAAATTTTTTGTACCCTTCTCCTGACTGATGCCTTCTAACAATGAGATCCCTTTGATGCTTTGTAAGCTTTTAGCAGACCATGGCTTTTGCTGTAAGAGGTAACTCAGTAAATGTCAGAAAAATCAGACTAGAACAGCTAAACTTTATATGGGCTTAATCAAAGTCACTTTAATTGAATACTATTTAATGTCAATTTTAAAATGATTGGTTAATTTTGAACACAGCCTCATCCCTAATTATAAGAGGGTGTGTACACTTATGCAGCCACATTATTTTATTTTATTACTTTTTTTCCCCCCCACTATACAGTTTCAATTTGGTTTTTAATTGAATGGTACAAGCTACAGGTCACACTATGGTGTAGCGGGGATGCCATCACGGTAATGTGTGTTCACACGTGATTGGGTCCCTGGATGCGCACCAACTGCACAAAAGTACATGTCACAAATTTGGTGACATGCATTCTGCGTTTCTCCTGTACACGTTCTTACGCATGCAAACACACTGGGGAAAAAACCCTGTTTGCTCGGCCGCGTTTGGGGTGCTATTACCTAGTGATGGCAATGCAAGCACATTTGAACACTTATCGTGAATGCACGTCGATGCGCGCACCTTTGCACGTTTGATGCTCGTTTGCGATATGCTCTGGTTTGAACGGGGCCTTGAGATCGGGAGAAAATTCTGAAGCGATTTTATCTTGGTCTGATTTTTTTTTTTTACATCTCAAACTGGCATTCTTACAGGGATGCATATACTTTTTTATACCACATACTGTGCGTGTGATTATTTATATAATATATCTCCCAGCTAATGATCATGTACCAAAATGGATTGGGTCAGATTGTTCTGTTTTTTTGTTGTGTGTGTGTGGTTCCCCCCCCCTCAATCTCCTTTTAAAATAAGGCACTCTCAGTACTTGTGACCCACACCATTACCGTGGGTCACAAGCAGAAGCTGTTTTGTGTACCTGTCAGTAATAAACTATTCTGGTTTTGTAACCATAGTCTGAAACATGATCTTGGAAATGTTAGAGAATACAGGAGGGTGCCTGTTGCTGTCACTCAGGCTCTTATGTTGAGTGACGCACTTTGGATTTTGCCAATGAGATATTACTTTTTCTTTATCTTAAGTGATATTCTGAGAGAAGCAACTTATTTTAACTGCAATTTTTTAAAATCTATCCCTATATTTTAATATACTTTAATATTAGAATTCTGGATTTAGTAAATGGAAAGAAAACCTTATTGATGGAAAATATATATTGCTCTGCTGTGGTCATGTGATAAAAAATTCATTGCTGATTAGACACCTGGTGGCTGTGGACATGCTAGGAACTTTTACTGACTCTCTGCTCTCCTCCACAGTGCTGAATGCTTCTGGAAGGAGGGGGAAGTTTTGATTTAGCCTGAGTATGTAAACTGAGACAATCTAATTATAATCCCATGGAAATATGGCTAGTTATACATAGAACATGAAGGATAGTGCAACTATTAATGTTATTGCTAGAATATTATAATGAATACATTATATTCAAGCAAGTGATTTGTTACCCTGCATTTATGAAATTAGGAGGTTTTACAAATTGCGTAACCACTGATGCAGATAATAAAGTTTGACTCAAAGAAATAAAAAATTAAAACATCAGGGTAATGTAAAGCACATGTATATGCCTATCAGTGAATAGGTATATGTTTGTTGTGGCAACTGTCATTTTCTTAGCTTCACGAGATTCTTTTCCTACCCAATGACACAGGAAGTAGAGTGTTTAAAAGGTAATGTTGAAATATTTTGCCCTACTGTTCTCATGAGGTATGGTGGAGAGGCCTATGTAGAACTGGATTGGTCTCCTGTTTGGTAAAGTACTCCTTACTTGCAGCATGCTAAAGACCTCTGCATCTCAGAAGAGAATGGCCTGAGAGGGCCTTCCAGGTTTACCTAAAGCAGCTGGTGTTTATCTTCCCAGCATGGGGATCTTTAAGCATGGAGTAGAATTTGGCTGCTACTCAGGCTCCAGTGATATCCTAGTTGAATCCTCGAGGAGCCTCCCATCATTGTCTGAGTTGGGAAGATTTAAATTTGCCTACATGGAGAACTGGGGGTCTTGAACCCCTTAATATGGAAAGTTTATCCAAACAATGACTGGAAGAGCCCTTTCTCCTGACCTAGAGATCCTCCAACCTCTGCGCCACACACCGTGGATCCATCTTCTGAATACCTACATCACTACTATACACTCGGTGGTGAAAAAGGGGTCTGATGATGGAACCATGGTGGGTGTTGGAACACCGGTATTTGAAGTATCAAATGCTGAAGTAGCTTATAAAGACTGCAGCACTGGAAAGGGACTGTAGTGATACTAGACTGATAGTGCTGGCCTTGATCTTTAAAAAAAAATTGCCATCCTGGATCCATCCACTGCGATTAGTTGGACAATGAATGTCTAGAGAGACTATTATAGACATACAATGGCTTCCAACCAAGTGACCATCTCTCTGGGGTTTGTAATGAAAAAGTAGGATGAAAAAAATGTAGGATGAAAGTACAATTTATTACTGGTCCTATATGTCAGAGTTCGACTGTGTATAGTTAATATAAACTGCTACCCCATACGGTCTACTCTAATTTAGAAGGATTTGGTAGGTTTGACTTGCAAATAACACTTTATTGTAATGTCAAGCATTGTTTACAAGTTTTTTGCACTTAACCTATTGTGTGTTTGTGTATGAGCATTTTCACTAGATCTACAGTGTATAAAATGTAACAGATGTAGCAGCGTTACTTTCGGTTCCCATTAATGGGACATAAGCCATTCCTTGCTGCTGTCTCTTGTCTGACATTGTTGTTCTGGCAAAATGACCATATGCTTAGGTGTTAGTACTCATTCCTTCGGGTATGGTATTTGCTTGGTGACTGTGGACTTGGCTAGTGGCTTTGCTTAAAGGGAAACTAGTGCATTTTTATTTCTGCACACACTTTTAATCATTAACTTTAGTTAACATAAAAAAATTGAGACTGACCGCATTTAAATACCACACTTTTTATCGCCGTGCAAATACTGACAAATACCTGCTTATACTGCAAGAAATCGTGAGCTGCTCACTTTCTGTAATGGGTTGACAACACTGCCTTTGCACAGAAATTTTAGGCAGTGTTGTCAGCTTGTTATTGGACTACAGAACTTTGCCTATCCTCACCCCTGCTCTATCCCGCTCCACATGTATACATTGATTATTTTTTTTGCATGCAAAATAGTGCTACTGCCAAGACTCTAGAGCCTGCCCACCCCCTGTGTGAAGGGCTCCTTCACATATATCACAAGCCCAGTGATGACATCAGAGTGTATTACATTTTCTTGCTACAGTAACAAGGTAATAGAAGAAAACAGAATAGAAGAAAACAAAATAATGTTGGAACATACTCTTGAGGGGAAGAGGATTGTTTGGAGGCAGAGTAATTTTGGATCATGCCTATAGAAATCCCTTTTTATCTCTTTCCTGTCCATATCTTTATTATATACCATGTCCAGATTTGTACATTCTCGCTCTAACACAAACGCGTCCAGGCTGTCATGTGCAGATAATCGCAGTATGCCCGATTTTACATGGCAATGGCTGACAGCTGTTTCTCTGAGTCTCCTGGAGAAATTGGTGAGACTCACCCACCCACTCGGCCTTATTCACATGCATGGGGCCTAATACGCAGCGGTGGTAGCAACAAAAGACGTTCTCGCATACTAAAGAACCCTGTAGAGACACAAAAACACCTACTGTTATTGCTGCCCTCTCATGTTGCCTGCTATCATGCTATACTTCTGGCTTCATTACTTTGAGTCAAGACTCAGAACAAGTCTAAATACCAGAAGATCTGATTTGGCCAGTTGCACACTTTTTTTTTTTCTTTTTTTTCCTGGGTCAATAACTCAAAGTATTGAAGGCAGATATCATTTTAAGAACCATATCAGTAATATCCACCTTAGTACAGTTTTCCTTTAAATTATTGTACGTTTGTGTGATGCTCTGGTTTGTGGAGCCCTCTAAAGTGCCTTAGGACAGCCTAAAGAGATCTGTAACACAAATGACAAACATTCTAATCTTGAGTATGTAAATGTATTTTGTATGCATTGTATTTGTTACACTTATTCTACAGACCTTTCATTCACCATGAAATAATAAACAGAATAAACTTTGTACATTCATTCTTTACAAGTGCAATATGTTGCCATGTGCTGAACTTCATCTTATTTCATTCTCTCCACGTTTTGAAAAATATTTTTCTCTTTTAAAAAGTTCATTTTATTATTCATTTCTACATGGTGAAAACTCTTTGCATGCTTATGACAGAATTATGATCCTACTAGTGAAAAGTATTTTGGTATCTTTTTACGCTTTATTGCAGAATTATGATCATATCGAGTTCTGTAAATTTCTGTTACATAACTGCATTTCCCTGCTGCCTCTTTTCTGTTCACAATTTCAATGACCTTTCCATAGATGAGGAGGATGAATCATGGCTCTCACCAGCTTCAACACTTTTTCTCTAGATGTTTTCTCGTTTATAGCTCTTTTCCGACATAGCTGCTTTATTTGTGAGATAAACATGGAAATATACATTTTAATGTACAAGTAGTTTCTTTGCTGGGAATTGTCTGTTTAGTTATAGCGATACTTATGCTCTTTGGAAACCACTGAGGAGATGCAGTAGGGCCAGACCTTTTTAAAGTCTGTACATTTAAGCCAGCCATACATGGCTCGAATTTTCTCTAAGTCCTACTAAATCACTCGAAATTTGAGCCATGGGTGGCACTGAATGACATTACCTGGCTTGACAACCTATGAGCCAGATGGAATATTGTTGGCTGAACACTGACTACATCCTATCAGATGCAGTCAGTGTTCAGGTTTTTAGGCAAACTTCATAGAATCCCATCGCACTCCTGACCGGATACGACCCAAAACATCGGGTGGGTGCTGTAATGTAATCGAGTACAAATCCAAAAATATTTACCAGCACACCAAAGCATATTCTGTCAATTCTTCTTTATTGACAAAAGAAAGGTATGTCACAATGTGTAGCGCTGTTTCGGAACAATTTCAGTCCCTTCAGGCAAACAGAGTGATCAGAGTGCCTGAAGAAGGGACCAAAATGGTTCCGAAACCTCGCTACACATTGTGGCATACCTTTCTTATGTCAATAAAGAAGAATTTACACTATATGTTTTGTTGTGCTGCTGACTATTTTTGGATTTGTACAGGTATTCAGGCAGCCGCACGTGCCAGCAACTGTCAAAATACAACAGCCGGCAGTAATTATTCCTCCATCTATGATGTTTCACGTGAATAACGGAATCTGTGGGGGGCCACACACTGTTTGAATTGCAGCAGAGTCATCTGGAATTCAATCCGCTTGCCAGTTGTCAGGCAGTGACCATCTCTTAAGGTGACAATTCACAGAAAAGGAATAATTTTTTTTGTATAAGTTTTTATTGAAAGAAGTTTTCATACAAAAGTACAAAGTTTTGTACAAAGTACAAAAAGTAGAATTACACATAAACACAATCAGCCATAGAGTGATCTTAATACATATATCAGTACATATTTTGCTCAACACATGAAACTTATCCTAAAATCTTGCATTAGCATAATAATCCTTGAGCCTAAAAGGCTTGATTGCGGGGAGGTGGGAGGAAGGCAGGGGGAAAAGGAATAATTAGTAAGTTTAATTCTACATTGCTGCATCATTTCCCCAAATAACTCTCATTAGGTACTTATACAAAGCAGATCTGACCATTCTGCCTATGCAACAGGTGGTCAGTTTGGCCTTCTACAAACATGGTCACACCTGAAAGATCCAGATATTTGGCACTCTAGCTGAATGCTTGTGGGGGAATATTAAAAAATGGCTTTCTAATGAATACCAACTCAGCAGATTTTGGCATGAACAAGTACCGTAGTTCTTTCCATGTGCTCTTTTACATGCTGATATCCGCTAAGCTGTGCAATGTGTGTATAACAACTCTGTTCATCTGTAAATATGAATGGAGCTTGCTGGGGACACACATGCATCACTGTCCTGAATGGGAATGCGTGTCAAGCAGTGTCTCAAAGATGCAGCTTAAAATGACGGGCACCCAAAGCAACTCCCCTCTGCTAGGCTCATCCCCTTGATACAGTAAATTTTTCTTGTTCCTGTTCCTATCCTGGCTTAGAATATTTTGATAGTACATAAATTAGTATTTTTATGAAAGCTTTAGTTGTCACAGGGCACTCATTCATTCCCCATGTGAACCCAAGGGAGAGTATCTCTTTTTGGATCTTTTTATGCACTTTCTGGTTTAAACTTTACGGCTGGTTTTCTGCTATTGGTTTCAAAACGTTTTACATGATTATTTGTTTTAACATACAGTGGATGTTTGTTTAATGGATTGTCACAAGCATAATCGATTTAGATCTTTATCACATTTCTAATAAACATTAATGTTTTTGATGCCTTTCATCATGTGCACTATAGGTAACTGATAAGTTGTTTCCCTTTTTTTTTTAATCAGCAAAGTAATGGGTTATTATAATGCCAGCCCCACATCATTACATTCTTTCTTTTTCCTCCTCAAGTCCTTTTATTTGACCTCTGGAACCAAAGAGAGGAGGCGTTGCATAAGCTTGACTTGTTGATTACACAGGACTCTAGCCCCTCTCTAGCCTCTTCATATGGTAGAGGTGAGTATTAGGGGTACACCGATGCCAGTTTTTTCGGTATCGAGTACCAAATATAGATAGAGAGATCTTTATTGTTTTTTTTTTCCGGTACTCGCCGATACCAAGTACCGTTGCATTTGTGCCCCGCTTTATCAGGAAGTCGGCAGTGGATCATGACCCTTCACCTGGCTTCCTGATTGCCTGTGGCCAGTCACCAGCGCTATCACATTGAAGGGCAGTGGGACATATGCTCCCACCTTACCAGGAATTGTGCATTTTTCTGTTCCTGTCAGCTGAATGGAGCGGTGAAAGGTCCAAAAAGCTTTGCCTACAAAAGATGACTGTAAATATTTGCCTCTTCCACTTGTTGCACCTCCAAACACCAATCTAAAGAACCAGCTGCTGAAATGTGTTCAGAAACTGACACATACAGGAATGTCTATCTCCTGGTCCCCTACTTTTTGCTAAGTGGTGAAAGGGACCAGGAGATCGATGCTTGTGGAAATGTTGGTTTGTGAGCAGACTCCGTGGACAATTTATCTTAAAGTATTTGTGAATACGCTAGAATAAAAGCCCATTTTAATACAGCAAATAGTATGATGGACTTAAATTGCATGTACTTTTTTTTTTATAAATAAAGCTTTACCTGTTTGTGGCCAGGAAATGTATCTACCTTCATCCCCAAGGACAATGTTAGTCAATTGTTTTAATGGTTGAAAGAAAGGTATACTTCTAGAAATAGTTATCAATTGTTGACATTTTTGCTAAAGCAACTTAATACAATTTGTAAGCACTGCCAGACTAAGATTTCTTCTACATATGGAAATGAATAAATCATCATTGGAAAACAGAACAATACCATCTTTCAAATGTTTGGTATTTTATTACAATTTAAAAATGCAAGTTCTACATAATTCAAATGGTTTTAGAGTTTTTATATAATTAGTCTTCATGCTTCTACAAAACAACTCGATAATCATTGTCACCGTCCATTTCTAAAAATGTATTCAGGTTTCTGGGCATCAATTTGTTTTCACTTCAGGTTCATGTAATCTGTCATTTTAATTACTAAAGATGAATAAAGTTTCAGCATTGTATTTTATTTAACCTTTTTTTTGGTTTTTCATTGCCTTTATAAAATCTTATCAGAAAACATTCTGGCTATTTTCCTAACCTGCAGAATATTATATACCTACAGCTGTCTTTTCTGGACTTTTTTTTTTTTTATCCCTCTTGCTTTCGGAAAGCTCAGTTACCACCACTTTACTCACTAAGCCAAAAGATGCATGGAGTATGTATAGTCAATCCATGATCTGCTTACTTGATCTGGTTAGTGTCTTAAAGCACTAAAGCCAAATGCTTATAACAGCCAAGCAACTAGGATTTTTAGGAGGTCGTCAATGATCTTGGGCCCTGTTCCTCAATGCACACGCTTCCTAAAAAAAAAAGCCAATATGTTTTTCCAATGTCTGCACAATGGTTTCTGTAATTCAGTCATTGGTAGACAGTCATTCGTTACCAAATAGTGGAAATCTGTTAGCATGCTAATAGGTTGTAAGCAGTTGAGCAGGTATTTGGCATTTAGAAATCCTGGTTTGTAATACATAGTAGTGACATAAAGCGATGCTAGAATAATGGGGGCTGTCATTGCTGGTCTCTGTTTAAGAAAGTTAGTTGTCTGTTTAGGTCTAATAGTTATTATTACTGAATGAGTGTCAGACTATCCTAACTATAATGCCGTCTGAGCTGCTGACACAGAAAAAGTAAGAGTACAGCAATGGCAGCCTTCATAATCTTTCATGACAGAGTCCCCTTTTACAGGTTAGATGTCTGTCCAAACTACCATGTCAGATGCAATATCTTTGCTCTCATGGCCAACATTAAAAATACAATCCACGGAGAGAAGTAAAACATTTTCTGCCCCAAATTTAATTTAAGGGTGATTTAAATGTCGAAGTGTTTTTTTAATCTGATTTATGAGACAAATGTTTTCTTTTGTTGTAGGTTGCAAAAAATAGAGTCAAAAGAACCGAGTATTTCGAATACAATTGTTCCTGTGAGTAATAGCCAGCATGGAGGGCCAAGCCAAGACACAAAAAAGACTATAAAGAGTAAGTGTGGCAGTCTGTCTTTCTACATTTTATCAATGACTTTTCTAGTGTGCAGCAATGGACAAGGATACCTCATGTAAATATCTTCATACAGCTGGTTACCCACAGACAGGCCCGGATTCCCCACAAGGCCGCTGAGGCCCGGCCTCGGGGTGGAACGTAGCAGAGGGGCGGCAGCGCCGTGGAGGCGGTAAGTGGGGAATCCGGCCGTTCGTTTACAAGTGATTGCGGCGATGTCGCCGCGATCACTTGTAATATGTGTGCAGTCCCCTCCCCCGCACCTACCTCTCTATGCTGGTCTTCGGGACTCCGCCCTCCCCTGGCCGCCGAAATCTCTCTCCTGTCCCTGCCGCCGATGCAGTGAGCAGAGCGGCAGGGTTAAAACTAACCCTGCCGCTCCGTGTACACAGTGAGAGGGGAGAGCTGTGCTTTTCCCTTCTCACCTGTCACAGGAGTTCCAGCACAGTACTGTGCTGGAGCTTCTGTATTGGAGGTGACAGGGTCAATAAAGAGAACCTGTCACCTCCAATTGCTATCACACAGGGGATTGTTTTCTCCTGTGTGGTAGCAATAAAGTTAAGTTAAAAAAATTGATAAAAAATAATACAAAAATAAATAAAAATTAAAAAAATAAAAAGTGATTAAAAAGTAAAAAATAAGAAGAAGAATATTAAAAATAATAAGAAAATAATTATGAAAAATAAATCAACAATAAGATAAAAAATATATAAAACAAGCTAAAAATGTAAAAAATAAAAAATTAGAACTAAGGACGGCAGGGAGAGCAAATCCGGCCCTGCCCACAGATGTCTGTAACACATTACTATGTAGAAACAAATTGTATAAGCTTACCAAGTGACACCTGTGCTGCTAATATGAAGGTGGGGGGCACATACTTGAGGATTGACTGCACATGCAGATGCTCCCTGGGTTATGATCGTTTGGTTTACAATTTTTCAACTTTACAATTGTATCAATTGTATACTATAGCAGCATATATACTGTATACAGATGCTCCTTTGGTTGTGTATATACTGTACTGTATATATATTATAACGTGGCCTTGGCTAAGCTGTTATATAAACTTGGCTAAAACACTTGCATTAACCTACAGATGGACGGAAGCCTACTGTATTTGATAATAAAGTGTTGAGTATCTCATGTATATACATCTCCTCGGTATGCGATCGATTTACGATGGGTTTTTTGGAACGTAACCCCATCGTATACCAAGGACTGTCTGTAGTTTCACTATGATTAGTCACATACAGGACCAACAACAGAACACATTTTACTGCAGCCTAGGATATTTGATATATTGTAATACCATATTTTCACCATAGTAATGTAAGAATTAATATAGCCATATGCTGGCATTGGACTATCTCCATCCCTGTTATGTTTTAAAGCCAATCTAGGGGAACTATGAAATACTATTAACCACTCTAGAAGATAGCTGACAGCATATACCATTTCATTCACTTTTTTTTTTTTTTCTTTCATCACTGCCTGCAGGTACCTTTTGAATTATTTCCACTTACACATAGCCGAGAAGGTTTATGTTTTTGGCTTTATTCTACAGTGCATTTATTTTATTTATTATTGGTATTTATATGCCTGGGTAACGTGCCCAGCCATTGTGATGTGGTGGGAGGAGTGTATATGTAAATAGTGGGATTGAGAATGTTGCTGGTTGCACAGCCACCTCTGTAGGGCTCTGTGCAGCACTAAATGAGAGAATTGTGATTAAAATAGTATGTACGGTCTGCTTAGGCAAATGTAATTGGAACAAGTAAAAATATATTAGGTTTTAGTGATGTCTGTGCACCCATTGATGAGATTCACTCCATTTGTCCTGGGTGAATTCACTACTCGCCCCCTCCATGCACCAGTGTTGCCCTCAGCGCCCTTCTCTGATCCTAGTGGATAGTTCTCTTCCAGGTTGTATGATGTCTAGCATCGTTCAACCTCTTCCTGTGAGCCTAGACTGTCACTGACACATCCCTTGAGCTCAGCAGCCACATGTCCACAAGGACATTTTTTTTTGCACAATGAGCACAAGCACTTTGAGGTGAAAATATTGCACAACTACCCCTGATGAGGCCAGAATATTGAAGACAAATATTGAGAGTTTTTAAGATAAAAGTAAAATGAGAGAACCCAAGTTATGAAAGTGGAAAATTGAAGTAGGAGAATGAGAAAGATGGTAACCTCTCCCTTTTTAAATTGTAAATCGGACAAAAATTTTAATGAATTTAAAATGTATATTGTATGGTATAGTGCAGTGGTGGCGAACCTTGGCACTCCAGCTGTTTTGGAACTACAAGTCCCATGAGGCATTGCAAGGCTCTGACAGTCACAGACATAACTCCCAGAGGCAGATGCATGTTGGGATTTGTAGTTTTAGCACAGCTGGAGTGCCAAGGTTTGCCAACACTGGTATAGTGCATCCACATGCAGGCTGATGTCACAAAATGCAGCATATAATTAATGCTGGAGAAGAAGAAAAATAAACCTGCAGGTAATGTGACTGGCTAGAATGCATAGTGAGGCAGCCTGAGACTTTTATCATGCAGTATCTCTTAGGGTCACATGGGGGTGGCAGGCAGCACCTCTGGTGGTAAAAATGCTAGGGACATCCCTGCGCGTATGTTTACTTTAAAAAAAATCTGTTGGTGCAGGGAAAGATAAGACCCACTGGGGTGGATGAGAGAATCAAACTGGAATTGGGCTTTAACCATTTCCAAATATATCCAAAGTTGAAAGAAAAAGAAAACAGGTTTTGGCTCTAAATATACTAAATTGTACACACTGTATTAGCTACAGTTCTTAGATGCAAATTGCTGCTCTCAGAAATGTTCAGTTCAGTAATGATCTATAATTGCATGCATAATCATTAGTCAAACTTCAGAAAGTCGTGTAGAAAAACATGTAGCAAAACTTGTCAGGATTGTATTTGTTGTGGTGCAGTTATGGAGATTCACTTTCATTTTCTGTCCTGGTGACCACCAGGTAAGCAGCAATAAAAATCTGACATTACTAGTTTGTAGTGTGAATTCATGTATTGGTGATACAATAAAATAAAAAAAATCCACATGCAGTAGGTTATTCAGGACCATAACATTGCCTCTGCTCTTATAAATATAGCAGAGAGAGACTGGAGCTGAAATAAACTTTTACTGGCTAATAGACATGTGCACTGCCAAAAAATTTGTTTAGTTTCGTTTTAAATTCGGATTTGTGTTATTTCGTTTTTCGGGATTCGGGTGTGAAAGTCAATTCGGTAGCGGTAGTTCGAACATTCGTTTCGGTTCTTATTCGTTTTGTTTGTTCGTTTGCCGCAAAGTGACATTTGAGGGGGGAAAAATGTTTTTCTCCCTCTAATGTCACTTTGCTCCAACGAACGAAACGAATAAGAAACAAATAAGAACCGAAAACTAAACGAACGTTCGAACTACCGCTACCGAAAAATGGAAATGGAAATTCGAATTCGTTTGCATTCGTTATGTCTGTAATTCGGATACATCCGAATGTCCGAATTTGGAACGAAACGAATCGCACATGTCTACTGGCTAACATAAAGGATATCTAAACCCAAAATCAAGGATTTAATATATTGCAGCTTCTCAGTCCTTAAATGTGGTGACTGTATTAGTTTTCTTTTCTACATCCCCTGTAATAGAGACAAGGACAGAAAGGCGCATTGGTAGTTCAGTCTGTGTGACAACCAAGGATAAGGTATCTCCAAAGATACATTGGAAAGAGTAAGCGTAGCCACATTTGGACAGGAAGTGCAGGTCAAAAGCCTGGAAAAAAATAAACTATGCAGGCACCACATTTAGGCCTGACAAACGCTAACATATACTGTATAAAATGTCGTTTTTTTTATTTTTGTTTTAGGCTTTGAATATGCTTTTAAGTTTTGGAAAATGCAAGATCTCAGGACCTTTCTTGGTCCCTTCCTCGGTCATTTTAACATTTTGGAAATGGTTCTACAACCCACATATGTATACATAGGGAAGCAATAAAATACAGCCATTAATAAAAAAAAAATTGTTTTCTTGACACACTTGGATAGTAATCGCCGTTTAAATGGTTAGACTATATAGACAGAAATAAGACCTTAGGAGTATTAATGGGGGCATTTAATTCTTTTATAACATTGTCTATAGATTTAATAATAATGTAATATTGCCTGAGGAAAGAAGTTACAAAAGCTTGCATCTTCAGTAAACTGACCAAAAAAGCTATCACTTAAACTCTAATTTTTGTTTGCATTATTCAATGGTTAACATGGTACAATACTCTACTGCAAAATATAGTAAAATAGTTGCACAGAATGTAGAGCATGCCACCTGGTGGACACCAAGTACAAGCTGGAGTTTTCACTGCCTCTAGGAAGATGATCTGAATAGTTATAAGGATGGATTATGTAATCATACAATACTTCTTAAACTTGAACCTTTTTGTGTGTGGAACACTTACATTCTTTTAAATTGTGGGGCAAACCCTACTAGATTTTGGTAGCTTTTTGTGGTCCTTGAACTCCTCAAACACTACGCATTGCAGTTCTAATAGCTGTTTAATAGCAAAAAGGAAATGCAACAGAAGTGTGAAGTTTAGGAGCTGCGCTCTTAAAAATGTACTTTAGTATTCTGTCAGAAGAACTAATGTAATTTTGTAATGGTAATTCCCAGTGCGAAATAATTTTATTCACAGAATGCGCTTTTCACAGCTGGCATGAGACATGCTCTATCTATTTCATGATTTTATTTTACGGGACTGTTAGAGGGATCTCTGTCTAACTAGATGTTTAATACCTATAAATGAGGGACTCTGCAACCTTAATCCAAAGGTAATTTAAGAGAATATTCAGCAATTATTTGGTTTTCTTGATGACTGAGTATTGTAATCTAGTATTTCAAATAACTTGTATAAAGTGTTCAATCCAACGTCCCAAAAAGAAAAGACTATTTTAGTGAAATGTTAAACAAGCCTTCCCACACTATTAAATATGCTCCTTGTGGTGCAAACATTCGCTCAAGCAGCTGTTACTGACAGATGGAGCCACTGACTTTAAAAGAACTAAAAGGTAAAAGTGGTGAGTATCTAAAAATACATCAGACTGTCTTTACTAAAAAGCCACATTCAAAAATAGAAAGTCTGACTGCTCTACTGATTTGTCTGTTTTGCTGGGTAGTGTTTGAGCTTTTCAATATTGTTTATAAACCAGGCACTACTTGCTTTTTTAAATTGACTGCAAACTCTGGAGTTAGATTTTAAAAATGCATTCAAGTACCTTTTTAATTATTACAAAAATGTATCTGAATTGGTGTCGACACTGTCCTACAAGCTCATGTTTAGTTTACTAATGTGCATTTAAGTTCTAGGCCATCATGGGAGCGAGCTTGGAGTGGTGGCTACTTTACAACACACACAGGGACCATGAAGAACAAAAGTAGCCACCCTCCGGAAGGAAGGACAGTGTCAGCACCAATTCAGAGATGATTTGAGGATCTACAGCTGAATGATGTGCAAATAAGATACATTTTTGTTACTGGTTTGTGTACTTGAATGCATTTTTAAGATTTCACTTCTGAATTTGTCACTTTATGCAATAATGCTTACAGCTGGAAGGTATAGGCCCAAGTCAACTATATTTCTGCTTAGCATAAATGTAAAAGCCTGAGTAAATAATGTTTCATCGGTTTTCTGTAAAGTCTGTAGATTTTTCCTTTTATTTTAACATTACATTCTTATGAAATGTTTCCAAATCTGATAAATGTTCAAAACCCTCTTCCTCTCTTCTAGAAATTGCACCAATGATGGCCAAATCCATGAGAGCTTTCAAGAACAGGGTAGGGCCAAGATGAAATCTTAGGCGCCTTGGTAAAACAAAAACTTCTATGATTTAAGTTTAAAATTAAATTAAAAAAATAAACGTTTTTGTGTTTGTTTTTGTCATGCTTGGCGTTCTGAAAAACATAATGTCAATGCATAAATTAAACTGGTTTATATTGTATTATAATAAACACAATGGTGGAGCTGTCAAAACATTCATATGGCAATGTGTTTTATAATAATTTTTTAATTTATTTTGCGGAGAGATTGGGTTGACATAACAAGACCCCTCGGTAGCCTAATATAGTCGATGACAAAGAATTGTGCCGCACACAAAATTAGACATGTAAAATATTTCAATTTCCACATATATAGTTGTAAAGAAGGAATAAGCAAGTCAGCTTCTTGAGCTTTCAAAAATCAAACTCATCTTTAATTTTTTTTTTTTATTAAATATTTCTTTATTGATTTCACATTTCACAAATCACAAAAATATCATCAGAAACAATTATTGATTTAAAAAAAAAGGGAGTTAAATCGACAGAGTTTACTTGGTAGATTGAAGTCTAGATATGGCGTTTCCCCTTTTCTTTCCTTTTTACGTTCCCACTCCTTGCCCCTTCTACTTCCTCTTCTTTCACCCTACTCCTCCTAGTCTTTATAGATATCTAAGAATCTCTGATGAACTCATATAGTCCCTCCAGGGGCTCCACCTCTCCCTAAATGTCATATATCTATTATGTAAGCGAGATGTGAGTTCTTCAAATCGCATGACATTATTAAGTTCTTCCACCCATTCTGATATCTGGGGGGGGCTAGTTGACTTACAGTGTCTTGGTATTACTGCCCTTGCAGCTGCTAGGATCGGGCATAGAAGACCTTTTTTCACTGCGGCTACGGGTCCATGGTGTAGACAGCAGGGCAACCTCAGGTGTCTCTAGGCCATGAAGACCCGTCAGCTCTTGAGCGATCTCCAGGATTACTTTCCAGTAAGTTCTTATCGACTGGCACGACCACCAGATGTGTAACATCATCCCATCTTCCCCAGAGCACCTCCAGCATAGCTTAGACTTATTAGGGTTGATTTTATTTAAGTTAAGTGGACATCTATACCATCTTGTTAATACTTTAAAATTTCTTTCCTGGGTAAGGGCTGAGATACTTGATTTAAAGGTTAGGTAAAAGATCTTCCTCCACTCATTCTCTGTTAATGCGTGTTCCAGCTCTCGTTCCCACGCTTTAGTGTAATAGGGCAGTGTTGGATACATCTGGTTTAATAATAGATTATATAGCTTAGACACCATGTGTTTATCGCCCGCCTTTTTTACACAAATCTCAAAAGGGGTTAGATCTCTAATCACTCTACTTTCTATGGAGAGGCCATTGAAAAAAATGTTTCAGTTGGAGATACTCCAACCATTTTCCTTTATTTGGGTGGTTCATGGGGAGGAGTTCTAAAAGTGGGCGTAGCCCATTTTCTGTTGTAGTTTGCATAATTGGAGAGTGTCTAGTTGTGTGCCAGATTAAAAATCTTCTGCACTTCAGACCAAATGGGAAATCAGGGTTCCCTAGTATAGGTGTTAATTTTTTTTGGGTAATTTATTTTAAATTATATTTAAGTTCCCTGTGAAAAAAACCCTAAGGATTCCTATGTCAAAGGGAATAGTTAATTTATGTTTCCTTAATAAAAGCAGCAGATTGTGTGGTTAGATGTTCTATTAGAAAAACTTTTTTTCCGGTCTTCCAATTCCATGCCAATGGTAAAGGCTGGTGAATGGTGGTAAATAAGGTGATGATTGTAAATGCATTTGAATAACTTGATTCTGCCGCTTTGCAGCATAATCACAGCTTTATCTTAGGTACTATGTACAGTAAATATCCACTGTGCTTGGTGAACATTCTCAGTTTATTTAGTAACTCAACCCCCACAGGCTCCAGACATGTATTTTTGTTTTTGCCACAATGCTGTTTAAAGAAGTGCTGCAGCCACATATACCAGTAACTTCAAGGGTTGGGGATTGACAGACAGGCAGAGATGTGCCTGTTAGAGATGAGGTCCGGGTTCAGAGCCACTTTTGGTTTAAGGTGGATTTAATAGTTCAGCAAAACTCCAAAGTGATAACTAAAAATGTGCCCCTCAACCCATAATGCACTGCATAACCATTGTGTCTGGTCAGATGGGTCCCTAAGAGCCAATAATATGAAAGAATGAACAGACCAGCTCCCTCACTATAGAAGGTGGGCTCCCAGTAGCCATACTGTCAGATATATACCACCTTGGGTTCACAGTTCCTTTTTTTTCCCCCCTGTTTCTTTGGGTGAAGGATATTGTGTTGCCAGGGCCCTTTTTAAGTTTGGTTCCGCAAACACTTGTTGCTAAGCAAATGTTGAGGGGGCTAAGGGGGGGCGGGGCTGGGGGGTAGATTTCTGTTTTTTTATTTGATATTGATTGGGCCATTAAGTTTTTGGGGTACTCCAGTGCAGCATTTACTTGTTGTTGACCATCTGTCCATGGAGCTGCCTTTTGTTCACAGCATGTGCCTGAATTGCGTGTGTAGAAAGAAAAATGAAGTGCATAGTACTAAGAAAAGTTAGGCTTACACCGGTTCGGCTTATTATCCCTGGTTAACAATGTCCTGCTGCTGGCCAATTTTACACTGCTGTATCATCCGTGTTGTCTAAATTCTTGTTTGCCTGCCTTTTTATCCTCTAGTACATTTTTGTCTATTTCTCCCTCATTTAAAACTGTCCCATGGTTGGCTAATTTTACACTGGTATCATCTACAAGTCTATTCATTCTTAATAAGTGTCTGATAGAAATTGGCCAGGGAAGGGACAGTTCTGCATCAGCAAGAACAGGGATGACCTCAGAAATTGCCCTGTAGTTCAGTAACTGCCTTTCAAAGTTGGCCTGTTATCACTTGATGAGAATACATGTGTTCCTTCTAAACTGACAAAAGCCTTTTTGATGTTGGTGTATGGAAATCAATTCAATTGTAAAGGAAAAAATAAATTACGCAGACCAAAATGCCCTGCCAATGTATGCTGTGACTGAGACTGTTGGAGAAAATTGTGCTGTTCCAGGTCGGCTCAGATTATAAGGCTGAGTGAAAATCACTCGCCTCATAATTCTCCTTTAAGCTCAGACTCCAAAATTAATTGCTCAAAGTGAACACACTATCATCGCATAACCAGCTTATTAAAGCGCCAGTTCTTGGAAGAAGTATTGGGTGAGAAGCAATCCTTACTTCCAGGTACCTACTTGCTTGAAAGTGGCAAAGTAATCAGTATTTCAATTACCTATCAATCATCTTCATCCTGCGTTCAGGACATTGAAGAATCATCCATCTCGCCTAACTCCTGGTTGCAAATCTTTGTTACTGCATAGCAAACATCCGCATTTCACAGGGGTGATCTAAAAAGAGTTCTGACTCCTGGGCACAAATCTTGTTCAATTTCATACACATGAATGAGAAGAGGAGATCTGTTCATTCACTTTTTTTATTTTTTTTACCTCTTATGTATCTTAACACCACACAAATGGTTCAGTAAAGCTCAAAAAAAAAATAGACATCCTCACAGATCTGGAAAAGAATCCTTGCCCCCGGGCACACATCTTTCTTACAGTTGCAAACTCTATTTACAGCCAATCCTTTCACACCTTACCAGTAAAACCAAACCTGGGATCTGGCAGGGTAACTGATTTGTCTATTTCATCACCAGAATAGATAAAGAAAACCAAAGTCCTTGTGGCCAGGTCTTTTGATAACCACTTTGTCTTTTTGGATGTGTCTCCTGTAGCTCCAGCTTAACAAGCATCCATCAAATTTCACAACCGCCTGCGTACTGAATCCATGCTTCCTATTAGGCTTGGGCGCTCCTGAAAACTCCCAGATGGCTTCTTTTATCCATTCTTCTCTCTTGCCCACCACTTCCTCCAGCACCCATTTTGGAGCGTATGGATATTAAAATCCATATTCCTGGGGGCGTGGTCTCGACATGGCCGAGTGAGCACGCAGATCCCTGGAGCTCTGTGACCGCCGACACCAGAAGCCGTTCTAGCAGACGATACCGACCCGATACCGTGGATGCTCAGCTGCCGGAATCTCGCCAGCACTCTCGAGACCTCCAGAGGACTGGACTTACGCCGCTACTTCTCGCCCGCGCAGCCGCAGACTCCCGCCGGCCCG